CATTTGTTTAACTCTGTGAAGCTGTGCGACTGTGCCTGTCTAAAATACCTGATGGTCCAATAAAGAACTGAACGGCCAATAGCAAAGCAGAAGAAAGGATAGGTAGGGCTGGCAGGCAGAGAGAAATAGAAGGAGAAATCTGGGTAAAGGGAGAAGGAATGAAAGAGAGGAGGAGGGCTTCAGGGGCTAGCCACCCAGCCACCCAGTTACACAGCCAGACATGGGGTAAGAAGGAAAGAAAAGGTATACAGGAATAGAGAAAAGATAAAAGCCCAGAGTCCAAAGATAGATGGAATAATTTAAAGTTAAGAAAAGCTGTCAAGAAACAAGCCAAGCTAAGGCCGGGAATTTATAATTAAGAATAAGCCACATGTGTGATTTATTTGGGAGCTGGGTGGCAGGCCCCCCAAAACAGCAGAAACAAACAACAGCTCAGTTCACAAAGTGCTTACCACACAAACTTGGGGGCCTAAGTTTAATCCCCAGGATCCACATGAAAAACTCAGGCTCAGTGGGAAGTGGCACTGGGGCATAGGTCTCATGGCCTGAATTTGATCCCCGGATCAAATCGCACAAGGTGGCAGGAGAGAATGGACTCCCAAAGTTGTCCTCCAACCTCACACAAATGCTGTGACATGTATGGCTACACATGCAAATAAATAATATATATATATATATAAATACATATATATATATATATTAATTTAAAAGCTAGATATAGTGATACACACTTGTAATGCCAGCACTGGAGAGGTGGGGATGGCATCCTTGGGGCGTGCTCACCAGCCAGCCTTCCTTACTTGAATTCCAGACCAATGAGAGACTGCATCTCAGAAATAACAAGGTGGGTGACTCCTGAGGAATAACACCTAAGGCTCGCCTCTGAGTACCACACACATGTATGCATGGACACAAAACCATCTATAATCCTTGTGCTCTGGATAGCTTGTTCTTTTGGCAGTTTGCGAATTAAAAAAAGAAAAGGAAAAAAAAAAGCTGTACTTAACTGGTATAGAAACAGCCACAAGGGAAAGCAAATGATGATGAAACCAGATGAATTGATTCAACACTGGCATTTTCCACACCTCCTAGCTTGCTTAAGGCTCCTCACTCAGTTTTTATTTGCACCTCCGGAGTGAATGATTTCCATGGAAGTCAATGGGAGAAATGTGTGTCTGGACAGCAGGACTGGCCCCAGACAAGAGACTTGAGGAATATGGTCATAAATGAGCCTGTGTGGAGGTAATGTCTGCTTACCACCACGGAGATGCAGGGTGGGCTTTTCCGGGTGCCAGCAATGCTACCAACTTTGAAGAACTAAGGTGGAGACCTCTTTTGTGGGATATTTGTACACTGTGTGAAGGTGTGTTGGTATACTAAAAAGCTGAACGGCCAACAGCTAGGCAGGAGGCATAGGTGGGTTTTCTGGGGAGAGAAAGGTAGGAGGAGGTCATCGAGGGCAGAGGAGATGCCAAGAAGACATGGAAAGAGTCGGACATATAGAATGAAGGAAAGTAAAAAAGCCATGTGGTAAAATGTAGATTAATAAAGCCAGGTTAATTTAAATTGTAAGAGCTTGTGGGACAAGCCTAAGCTAAGGCTGAGCATTCATAATTAATAATAAGTCTCTGTGTTGTTATTTGTGAGCTGGCAGCCCCAAGAAAAATCCGACTACAGATCTGAGTCAGCCTCCATGCTGCATATCCCTTTCATGTACATTTGGCCTGGTCTGAAGATGGTTGTAAAGAACAGTAAGGAACACGTGGGGAGGGAGGTCCTCTGAGACCCAAACCTGCTATTGGTAGGTATGTATGTGTTCAGAAACCCGTGTAAATAGTGAGAGTGGTGGGTGTCTGGAGTCACATCTACTTTCTTTGTTTGTTTGTGACGTTAAGGTCAAACTTAAAATGATCCTTTTAAGAAAATTAGAGCAAGAAAGGGACATGGTTACACATTTTAGTTCACTGGGTTAGTCTGAAATTTTTTCCTTCTCAGTTTTAACCACATACTTCCCTTGTCCTTGAGTTGTTACGGTGTGTAACACAGCAAACATTCAAAAGCATTCGTAAGGCAGGCCTGCTGGCTCACATCTGCATTCTCACTACTGGCAAAGGATCACAAGTTCAAGGAAACCCAGGAAACTTAGTAAGACCTGTCTTGAAATAAAAGGTGAAAGAGAGGGGGTCAGGCCATGGTATGTAGCTCAGTGAGAGCCTGGCTTCTTTGAGGCCCTGGATTTGATATCCAGTACCACACAAAAAGCATACATTTAATGGTCAAGAGAACATACAGAATAGGGACCACAGTGATATAGTATGCATGTCATCTTATTAGTATTAGAATTTGAAGTCAGAACTGTGCACTCCAATCCTTTTCTGAGAGTAGTTGTGTCTCAGTTCTGTAACCTTGGCAATTAGCTAACCACTCTAGGTCACCAAGGCCTCCTCTGGTTTTCATATCCATCTTTCCAGCTGTGTGTGAGAATTAAATCTAAAGAATGATTTAAAGATCATATCTACCAGTATTCTCCAAAATGCTGCATAAGGCATTGTGATGCTGTATAATGCCACTTGGTAATCATGAACAAATGTGATAAATTATATTGACAAAATAAAAAAGTCACCATATTGCTGTGTATATACAAATAGCAAGGTCCAGAGGTTAAGAGTGCTTACTGCCCTGTGGAGGACCTGGATCAGTTCCTAGCACTCACATGGCAACCCACAAACACCTATAACTCCAGTTCCAGGGAACTTCTAGCCTCTGTAGGCATCAGTCATACACATAGTGCATGTACATACATGTAGGCAAACACCCATATGCATAAAATACAAATAAATCCTTTTTAAAACATAGCATTGCCAAGCAAGGTAACAGTAGCTAGTATATTGAAATCATATTATCTTCCAGCCAATGCACTAAGTATGTCATGCATCATATATTCTACCACGTAGCCCTTTGTGGGGGACACTGTCAGCAGCCACAATGAACAGATAAGGAAACTGAGGTTTACAGGAATTGCAATGTCTTTCCAAAGAATTTCTAAGTGCCAGAGACCACATCAGAACTCAGACCTGTTTTATTCTTCAGGTATCCAGGCTTGGGCCAAATTCTTGTCTTTCTCCCACAAACTCCAAAATTTTTTTAATATTTCAACATATACTGTGTCTAAGTTCCTATTTCTCCTTTATTCAACTTTAAACAGAACTTGAAATTCCATGGTGATATACACAAATCAATGGCTATGTTATTTTTTTATTCTAAGTACCACATGACCAGACACATTACAGTCAGGGGAAGTAGGGGCCAGCATCTCCTTCAGGGATGAGAAACAGAGGCAGGGTAGTAGAAGGCCTTGCTCTTGAACTTGTTAGTGATGTAACCAGGACCAGAGTCCAGGTCTCTCAGCTTCCAAGTTGAATATTTCCCATGCTCCCGCTTGGGAAAGGTGTAAAGAGATGCTGTGGACTCAAACACATGAACTAAATTCTGTATATAAGGATAAATCATATTTATTGTGCACAGAACATCTCTAAGGATTTTAGTGCATTTTCATATTTTAACTTATTTAGTAAAGGTATTTTGAACAAATAAGAGAGACCACCTACGCCTATTCTTCATACACACCTGGCAAGTGCCTGGTACTTAACAACTGCTTGACATATTTGTTCAAGGAAGTAAAGGTTTATAATTCTCAGAAAGATCTCTTAATCTCTCTTTTTGCAGGAAAGAAGGAGAGAGAGAGAAAGAGAGAGGGGAGGATATAGAAGAGGAGAAAGAGAGAGGGAGAAAGAGAGAGGGAGGGAGGGAGGGAGGGAGAGAGAGAGAGAGAGAGAGAGACAGACAGACAGAAACACAGACAGAAACACAGACAGACAGGGCCAGAGACCAAGACAGAAAAACAGGAGTAGAAATGGACCCCAGGATATAATACTCTAGAACAGCCCAACTTTGCTAAACTTAAAGTTATTTCAATTGAGAAAGATGAGCATTAGGGATGATCACACAGCATACTGACTTCGGGTGATATGCCCTAGTGAAAAGCCCCCTCTTCCACTCTGTTACTCCATCAGGCATTGCTAATAGAACACAGCAGTTTCCCTTCCTCCAAGCAACTCCCATTAACCTATCAGAATTGATACACATACTTCAATCTATTTGTCGCCCCTGGTGACAATAAATTGCTCGTCTCTGTGGCCCTGTGGCCCTCGTGGCCCCAGAACCACTCTAAGCTGTTTGTTTCTTTCTTTGACTCTAAGAGTTCAAGAGGATGTGACCCCTAAAGCTATTCTTTGGGACCGACTGCTCTGAGGGAAGCCTTACTTGTGGGACCTGAACGGGTTACTCAGAGACTGTGAACCCCCTCAGATCCCTTTATGAGTAATCTTGGAACTAATGTTCAGAATTAGTTAAAACAGCCTTGTCCCTGGAAGGATTGAAACAAAATAATTCTAAAGATGGTCCGAGTCCTATTACTGGCTTTTCTGCCTACACGGGAATAAAACAAGATCTCTGAAACAAACGTCCATGTGTTCAAAGGCTTGAAGAAACCTTGACTGCAAACTGGTAGTTGAAGAAATTGGGAAACCTCTTTTGCTTACAACCACAGCAGGCCATGTGAGCACACTTAAGCATTTTCTAAAAATGGACCTTGAGAGCATATCAGGATTTTGAAACAAAACTTTTTATAACTATAAATTATGGCACACTTGATGTAGCCACACATGTTATTAAACTTTTATAAAAACATAATACCACTGACCCCTTGAGCTGATTAAAATTAAAGCAAACCCTTCTTATTAATGCCCAGGATAGAGGAAGCAGCTGAAAGCGCAGTAGGAAGCCACCTGATGGTTAAGTGTTGTCCTGGCTCCACACCGTGTCACTTTCACTGTCATTACTCACAGTTCTGAATCACAGTGTCTGACTAGGTGTCTACTGAGAGGATGTCTAAATCATAACGGCTAACCAAAACAAGAGCTCGACACGAACAGCTTGGATCGGAACGGTAACAACACACGAACATAGCATGCTACTTGAACAAAAGGGGAAAAGCACCCAGACGTTCCCATCCGGAAGTGAGGCTGAAGAATTTAAACAACCCATGCGCCAGAAAGAGGGCGCAGCTGGTAAAAGTGCTTGCTACCGAGCCTGAGGACCTGAGTTCAAGCCCTAGATGCCACACTGTGGAGGAACGGAGCCGATTCCTACAGGTTGTCTTCTGACCAAGACACACACACACACCACAGACACACAGACACACACACACATGCATGCACACACACATACACACACACACACACACACACACACACACACACACACACTGCATGCATGCACACACACATGCTCATACACACACACTAAATATTTTTAAATGCTTATAGAGTTTAGCCAACTTGAACGAATGTGCACACTGATGCTACTATTGTTCTTCAGGGAGCATGCCAGCTTACACAGCACACGTGCTGAAGCCAAATGAGAATGATGTATTCCTGGGTAGAACTAAGCCCAATGGCAGACAACTTTCACAACAGGCGAACAAAAAAATTGAAAGGAGGTGAATGTTTTTGCTTTTGTTTGTTTGTTTCAGATCCTTGCTATGTAGCACAAGCTGGCCTTGAAGTTGGTTTTCTCTGGCCCACCCTCATGAATGCTGGGATTACAAGCACACGACTATGTTCTGCTCTATTCTTTTGCTTTTTTAAATACCATACATATTTAATAGAAGTCTTAAAATCAGAATAACTTCTATGAACCCTAAGGAAGAAAAAAGTTGTGCTTCAGACACAAATTGTATCAAAAATGTATGAGACCAAATAGTTACCAGTCATGTTGACCATTAGTGGGTGCTTAGGTGTTGGGCACTTTTCTAAGCACTTCACACAGTCCATCCCCACAGTAACCCTGTAAGGTCAATACTCCGGCCTGAAGAAATGAGGCAACACTTACCCAAAGGTGCCCACTGGTCCCCAGCAGCTTGTTCTACTGATACTGCAGTTTTGTTTTGTTCTGTTTAAACACTGAGGAAGAGAACCAAGACCTTTTCTTCTACCTGTAAACTGGGATGGGAAAGAGTCAGTTAAACAAACAGATAATTTTGCTTTAAATAAAAAACAGAGCTAAGCTATCCTGACACTTGTCTTTAAAAGTTGTATTAGCAGAACCTATAATAATTTAAGTAGAAATGATTACCTTTATTTATTTTTTTTTTCAAGACAAGATTTCTCTGTGTAGCTTTGGCTGTCCTGGAACTCACTCTGTAGACCAGGCTGGCTTTGAACTTAGAGATCCACCTGCCTCTGCCTCCCAAAGTACTGGGATTAAAGGCGTGTGCCACCACCGCCCACCATTCTTTTTTTTTTTTTTTTCCTTTTTTTACATAATTATCCTGAGGCTGACTTGTACAGTTCTAATGCAGGAAGAGACAGGGAACACAAATGATGCTAATGATACAGATCGGGCACGGAGATCAGACGGCCATCCTTGCTTCACTCTATGGAAAGTTTCTGATGTTTGCTTTCCCCGGGTCTCTTTATTCGGCACAATCCCTGTCTAGCTAAAAGCCTTTCTTTCATCAGACACCAACACATTATCATCCACTGACTACAGCACTGTGAAACTTCCATGACCGAAGTTCATGCGCATGTCGGCATACACACGTAGCCGCACCAGATGGGACTAGACGGCCACCACGAGAGTGCCTGTGTGGTTGGCTTATGTGTTATTTGGCCACCCATCTGAGCTCTAATGACAGCCTGGCTGACACTGTCTGACCTAGGTTGACAATCTGGATAGAAATCGTAGGGTTGGCTGTTCAATGGCTGTGACTTTTACCAGCACTGCTTTTGGGCCTCAAATCAATTCTCTCTGTTTACAGACCATTTCACAGCCCTTTACCTGCAACATCACTGGTGTCAGCCTCATAAATACTTAGGTGTATATAATGCTTGAATTAGCATAATAGTCTAGGCTTGAAGCTCTTAGCCCAAAGAAGGACACGTCAACATGCTCTCTTCACTTAAGCAATTAAGAGCCATTATGCTGCTTCAGTGGAAATATCATCAAGGTTAAAGACAATCCTGCACAGCCCTCTCACCTTTTTATTCTAAGTCTAATAAATGAGCCATAGAAATTGAAATGTTAGTAAACAGTCCTACTTGCAAGCTCTTTCTGGACCATGCTTAATCAGATCCTCAGTCAGCAGTCATTTGCAGTGGATTTAGAAACGTGCATATTTAAATTGTTCATTTAGTGCAAGAAAATTGAGTGCACTGGTTTAATTTCAAAGTCACAGTGGACACTAATGCAACTTTTGCCAGATTTAAAATCTTTTCAGTACTAAGTTACATAAAAATATCCCTGCACTGTATTCCTGGCAACAATAGCTGTATTTCTGAACATGATAATGATGTTGTAACACACACACACACACACACACACACACACACACACACACACACACACATGTGCCCACACAGCAATCACAGGACTACTTTGAGAAGGTAGTTCTCGCCTTTCACGTGAGTTCTGGCGATCAAGCTCAGGTTGCCAGGCTTGCTCAACAAGCACTTTTACCCACTGGACCACCTCACCGTTCCTGTTTTGAGTTTTAAACAAAGGATTATTTCCCAAGTCTTTCCATATTGTTTTCTTCTAATACCTTTTTTTAAATGGCATTACTGAATTATAATTTATAGCTAATGTTCAGTTTAAGAACACAGTTTGATGAGTTTTGGGAAGTGTGCAGAGCTGAGGAATTACCATTCTAGTCAATGTCCTATCACCATAATTGAAAAAAAAAACTCTTCTAGTGGGCCCCTTCCCTACTTATGGTACCAGCCTTTGACCACTAGCTCTACCTCCTCTAGGACTTCAAACAGCTGGACTCTTACAGTACCTGGTCTTCCACACTTGGCTTCTGTGTTTCTTTATGTGCTTTTTCTCTAGACATTAGCTGTAGAAAGTAATGCTATGGGAAACACAAGTTGGAAGGACTCTACCATGGTGCTAGCTATGGAATTCCCTGGTCTGCAGTTTCCTTTTCTGTAGAATGGAAGACTCCACAGAGTTGAGAGGTCTGAAAACAATCAATGACTATGTTCTTGGAAAAGGCATCTAGACAATGTGCCATAGATGTTAGTCCCTTAGATGGCCATGCTCTGTCCAGCTGTTTAACTCATTTGCCAGCTGCTCCTCACAGCACTCACTACTATGGCTGATTCCAGTGACTGCCAAAGGCATGGGGAGCTTCTTCAGGCTCTGGCAATATTCTGTAATGTGATTGTAATGGTGATTACACAACTGTATACATTTGTCAAAACTAATCAACTACACACTTAAAACTGAGCAAAAGGTAATTACATAAAATTATAATAAAAGTGGGTTTTATAAAATCAAAAACTTATCAGTGTGGATGGACTTGAGACTATCCCTGGGGCAGTGTGACAGTAGAGTGACATGATGAGACATGGCCTTGGCTCTGTGCTTCATCAGTGGAGCTTGCTGCTATGGTCAAAGAGGGGGTCAGAGTCTTCCCTACAAACAGCAGATCTCACACAGTCAGCAAACACGTGTAAGACGGAAGTGTTGTCTTCACATGTCACTGTCTGTGTTGACTTTTCAAAAAGCATTTTGGTTTTTGTTTACATTTATTTGTTCTGTCTCTTTGTCTCTTTGTCTCTCTGTCTCTCTTTGTCTCTCTGTCTGTGTGTGTGTGTGTGTGTGTGTGTGTGTGTGTGTGTGTGTGTGTGTGTAGGTCAGAGGACAACTTTGTGGAGTCAGTTCTCTCCTTCGCCCATGTGGGTTTGGGGATCAAACTCAGATCATCAGACTTGGGGTCAAAAGCCTTTACTGGCTGAAACATCTCACTGGCCTGTGTGTTGACTTTCTAAGATTCAAAAATCAGTTGTGCATGTAAGTATAATAGTATGAGAATACGCTTGCATGTGTAAGAAAGAAAGACAACAATGTACACTGAATTTGCCATTTCGAACCAGCAGCTTCAGCATGTCCACTTTCAGAAAGTACAATCAAGTACATACAAGAAAACCTAAGTCAAAGTTAGTTACCTGAATGCTGGCAGCAGTGGCACATACCTGTAATTCTAGCACTTAGGAGGCGGAGGCATTTAATCACAAATCCAGGCCAGCCAGGGTCACATATTAAATTCAAGGCAGCCTTGGACTCCTAGTGAAAACCTGTCTCAAAAAATGAAAAAACAAATACAGTCTGGTGGGGTAGCTCAGCAGCCCACCACTTACCTGGCATATGCGAATTATAGTTTGATCCCCAGTTCCAAAAGAAAAAAAAAGCCTAGTTAACATTTAATTTAAGTATTATTTTCCTTGGGACATTGTCCCCAGATGTCACTGACATTCTGTTCCCCTTCTGAGTCAGGCACTCATTCTCTCTGGTGCTACCTTTCCTGTGCTTGCCGCCAGCACAAACATTTTAGTTATCGGTTTGTGTGTCTGTCCTCTTCAGACTGCAATCCTTGAAGATAAATTCCTTCTGGTTTATTTGTACTCCTCTGTTTTGGTGTGACTTGAGTGAAGCCTCTGTAGTCAAACAGATACAATCTGATTCTCAGTTCATCCCAATTCAGCTCCCCCATTGTCTGTGGGGGCTGGACAGATTCCTTAGAACTCCAGGTTCCCCTAGCAAACTAACTATAATGATGGTTCCCAGGCATAGGATTATTTCAGGATTACATGGCATACAGTCTATCACTGTGGCTAGTGTATGGTAGTCCCGCCCCCCAAAGCCTTGCCCAGTGGGCGCTAGCCTTACGATTGCTATGCAAGGCCTGCTTCTCGGTCACGTCAGCCCTCTCTTCTCCATGTACTGTGTGGTATGCCTACTCCCCCAATACTCGTTTGTGCTGTAGCTGCTGGAGAGCAAGGGAGAGCAACAGTCTGGAGGTCAAGTGACCTGGGCTCCAATTTCTTAACTGTATACAAGGCACCTGCTCTCTGGATTTGTTTCCACCTGTGACATGGAGCACTACATGCCCCACATCTTTAGCTTGCTATGAAGAGTACATGAGATTATAACGTAGTATAAAGTACCCAACATATGACAGCTGTTCTACTGAGCACATTTTAGTTTCAAGTCCACCCTTATTTCTCTACCCAATATGGCTCATTTGCCTTCTCCTCTCTGCATATCTAGACACTGTCTTCCAGCACACAACTCCAGCCCCACCTCACCCTGCAAGCATCTCCCACCATCTTGACCCACCTTGCTCTTACAAGTATAGGGTATACCACTCTTCTGACTTTGCTGACGCTTTACATTGGTCATTTCTCCAATAAATCAATGAACCTCCCCTGAATCACAGACTCTTCTGATAATATGGTATCTCTTTGGCTCTCTCCTCAAATATATGCATATATACAAACAATTTCAAGCTACCACTATTCCTTAAACCTCTGGCATTGATTGAGGCCTCCCTTAGTGCAATGGCTATAGTGGTCTGATCATCTCTTGTGCTGAAGGAGGGCCAGTTGACAAACCTCCTGCCTTCAGAAGGTAGGTAGAGGCAGCAGTTCCAGAGAAGATGTGAGATGCTGGCTACAGCGAGGACAAGCCACTAGGCTTCGGTGGCATCTCAGTCTACAATTCTACCAAAGCACAACATCTCAAATCTTTCTTCGGATTCCTCTGGGTCAGAAACAAATACTGGACAGTACATATAGACACAGAAGAGTGATTACAGAAAGTTCCCTTCTGCACTGTAGACACTGTTCAGTTTACAGAAGCCAGAAGGGCCCCTTGCCCTCATCCCATCAGGCCCACGGCCATAACTGCCCTTGGCTTCCCCGCCATGCACTGCCCACTTGAGGGCTGCTTTCTTGGCTCAACTGCAATTGCCTTTGGAGTGGGAATGAAACAGTTCACTTTTGTCTCTGCTAATGCAAAATTCTTTGGTTTTAGTGTATCTGTAATGCCCATTCTAACAAGAGAGGAGCTGTAAGCAGACAGCCATAATTCTAGCCTTGGCCTTAAGCAACTAACGCTGGGACCAGGGTAAGACCACTTGTCCTCAGAATCCCAGCACCCTTCTTCACACAACATGGTGGTCTCTCCCAGAACTGACTCCAGACGATCATGAGACTGCAATGACTCATAGTTGGAACTAAAAGATCTTCTGAAACACAAGAAATGTATGTGCAATGGCCTGGGAGACTGGTTTTAACGGTTCGATTATTAGATTAAGGGAAGTTGCCACATCTACCACACAAAGTTGTCTAAACTGACCCACAAAATATACTTAAGAGGGGCCAGAGAGATGACTCTGCAGTAGAATATTATTTTAAGGTGTGTTACTTTTGCACACGTTGCATTTTTTTTTTTAAACTCTGTGAACCTGTGTTACTGTGCCTATCTAAAACACCTGACGGTCTAATAAAGAACTGGCCAATAGCAAGGCAGGAAAAAGGATAGGTGGGGCTGGCAGGCAGAGAGTATATATAGAAGGAGAAAACTGGGAGGATCGGAGCTCGGGGAGCCAGAGAAGGAGGAGGACTCCAGGGGCCAGCCACCCAGCTACACAGTGAGCCACAGAGTAAGAGTAAGATTTACAGAAGTCAGAGAACGGGAAAAGTCCAGAGGCAAAAGATAGAGGAGTTAATTTAAGGAAAGCTGGCTAGAAACAAGACAAGCTAAGGCCTGGCATTCATAATTAAGAATAAGCCTCCTTGTGTTTTATTTGAGAGCTGGGTGGTGGGCCCCCCAAAAAAGAGCCAAAAAACAAACAACAACTTGACTCTGTGGATAAATATGGTTGTCACCCAGCCTGGTGACCTGGGTTCCATCCTCAGGGCTCACATGATAGAAGGAGACAATGTGCCATAACTTTTGCACTCACACACATATGCATGTGCACATGCAAACAAATATAAAATATTTTAAAACATAATAGTAGATAGCAGTGAATATAAGCTTTATTTCTCTTGAAATTCAAAACCTGAACCTTCACTATTCAAAACTACAAAAGAAAAATCTGATTTTTTTTTTATGCTTTTCAGGTTGTGATACAGAAAAAAAAAATGAGAGTAGAGGGTCTAGCCAAAGTGAAATATATATCCTTCCGATGATCCATTGTGCTCCTTCCTGCAGCCGTATAACAAGGCTAATAAAATGAGCCGATGGCATAATAAAGGTCTTCCTTTCTATGACGAGTGTTCGGGCAGATTATCATCAAAACATCTCTGACATTCTAGTAGCAAAATCAAGCCTACAACAAGAATGGGAAGCCTATGAGCAGTCAGTTTCTAATTTTATTCTGGCTGCTCGGACTATGCTAAGAGGAGAAAAATGACAAATAGCCACCGAGATTTTCTTGACATCGTGCTTAACTGAAATTTCAAAATAAATCAGTTGGGCTCATTTTTTAAAGACTTACAACTAAATTATCATTGGGTCGTTTTGTTTTGTTCCTGCCTGGGTTTCTGAGGGACTAGTGGTGAGATACACCGAGATCTGAAAATGGGCCACAGTGCGCAAACATTGCAGTTTGGTTTGATTTAGTCTAACTCTTGTGTAATAACTTTCTTTGAAGTGTGGGTTGAGGAGCAGGTTAGGAGCCCGAGGCCACAAGCTCATCTTGTTCTTGTTACAACTCGGATGCCCTGCAGTCCCTGCACTATATATCAAAGGCTTGGCACTGGAGTCCCTGGGCTCATCAAGAGTGAAGCCCTCATTCCCTGCACAGCGGAGCTGTTCAGAGACAAACAACAACATGGTTGTGTTTGCTTGGGAAATCCTGCTCCTTAAAGGAAACAGGTGGGTCTTGGAGGAGCCTGGGAGGCAGAGGAAGCCAAGGAAAAGTGGTTACAAAGAATCCTTATAGACAGGTCAGTGGCTTCCCCTATCTTGGAAGAGGCGGGACCTGTTTTCTGAGTGCTACCTGGCCGCTCTCCTTCCCAAGCGCTGGAATGGGGGCTCCCAAGCAGCTCTTCTGACATGAGGGGTTCTCAAGTGAAGAGGAAGTGTGCACTCTGACCCTCTCTGGTCTCACATTTTTGTTGCCAAAATGGAGGGCTGTGCCAAATGATCTCTCATCCTACTATCAAATTAGACAATTCTGACCCTGGGACAGCCTTGAACCCACCTCTGAATTGATGGGTATAAGGTCTGCAGCGAAAATTCTGTGTGAAGAGTCAATAGTCCAGAGAGATGCCATTGAGGCTGGATACTTCTAGGGCAAAGACTCTGGGTCAAGGATAGGAATAGGGATTGTTCTTCAACTCCTAACTCCATGAAAGGCTAAAAAAAAAAAAAAAAAAAGAGGCAGAGAGGGAAGTCTTCTTAAGTAGTAAAAGGCCGCCAGGTCAAGTTCAACTCTGGGCATTGAGTACTGTCTGTACGACTGCCTCCCAACAGGGCTGTGACTATTACTTCTAACACTGTCTTTTGGCTAGGGCTTTGAACAAGTTGTGAAATCAACAGGGTTTATAACACGAGTAGCTTTTCTCTCTCTCTCTCTCTCTCTCTCTCTCTCTCTCTCTCTCTCTCTCTCACACACACACACACACACACACACACACACACACACACACACACACACACTTCATTTTGTGGCATATGATAAAAGGACTGCATTTCGGGGGATGGAGGTTTCCTCATCTGAACACACCTGGTAAAAGGGAAATCATATGCTTAGTGTAAAATGAACGGTGACATTAGCAACAACATGAGAACGAAGTGACGAACCTAAACTCTACCCAAGTCAGCCCGACAGTCCCAGAAGGACACTCGCAGCAATGGCAGAGGCCGAAGGGCAATGGATTGTGGGGCCACGTCAGCAGTTGCAGCAGAGCACATCATCAACGTGCCTCATCTACTCTCAGCTCAGAAGGCTAAGACAAGAAAGGAGCACAAACAGATACGCTTAGAGGTGGTCGAATTTTCAGATGACACAGAGGGGCTGACATGATCATCTTGAGTCTTGGATCAGTAAACTCACTTAGCAGACCACTTCTCGTTCTGCAAGCTTGAGGTGGTGAACTTAACAGCACCATGTATAAACATGGGTTCACGGATTCTAACAGTCATTTGAACTGGACAGGACTAAAGGATTAAAAAATGATGTTGTTTGGGGTTTGGTGGCCAGAGACTCCGTGCCGTTTGACTACTAAAACACAAAGCACCTCAGGATGCATGCACTATTGGAAATACCTCTGGAGACCACTGGGCTACTGTGGCCAGGTATCATCTGCAGAATTATGATGGACTGCTGGGAAGGATCTTAAGAAAGACACTTGTATTTCAAACATGCTCAAGGAGCATGACCAAGCTGGTAGAGTCCAGAACCCATTTCCCATAGGAGACAGCCAAACTGGGGAAGCCTGAAGAGTCACTGAGGGCATCTTTAGTTCCTGAGTAAGACTTCCATGGTTTTGTAGGACAGAAGGCCCAGTGTAAAGCAGAACTTACCTATCGATACCTGGGTAAGGGCAATCTAGGTGCCAAGTTCTTTGTAACTGAAGGTGGATTTCATCTGGGCCTGATCTTCCATCTGAGACCCTCCAGAAATGCTTTCTGACATTAGCAGGAGCTTGGACTAAATGACTTCCAAGATTCTCTTAAGCTGAGCTCTTTGCCCTGAAAACCCATTCAGATCTAGAGAAAGAGTCCTGCCCCACACTGGCCTGTGAGCTGGAGAGTTCCGTTCATAGTTTCTGCTCTTAAAATGAATGCCCCTTCTCAGCAAATGACTAAGCACCAAATTATTTAGACTCTAAGGACAGAGAATGAATTTTTAAAGTACAAACAAGTTTTGTCTTCTTCATGCTCCCAGATATAAACAATCAGATTAGTTTTGCCTAAGGCCCAAGAATGTTTCAGAAGCCCTTTCTTCATTTCCATCTCTGTATCCTTGCCTTAGCTCAGGCTGTCATCATCTCACCCACAGACTCTTCTCATGATTTCCTAACAGTCCTGTCTACTCCAGGGTGCTGTCTATAGGGTAGGCACAGGCATTTCAGAAAGCGCCATCATTATAGAACCGTGCTCCTTCTTTCATGGCTTCCCAGCTGACCGCATAAAACTGCCAGCTCTCAATGCATGGAAAGCCCTAGAGCCTCATGTTCTATGAGTTCTCACATGTGCACCCACCCCACTAACAAAGAAAGAAAGAAAGAAAGAAAGAAAGAAAGAAAGAAAGAAAGAAAGAAAGAAAGGAAGGAAGGAAGGAAGGAAGGAAGGAAGGAAGGAAGGAAGGAAGAAAGGGAGGAAGGAAGGAAGGAAGAAAGGAAGGAAGGAAGGAAGGAAAAGGAAAGGAAAGGAAAAGAAAAGAAAGAGGAAGGAAGGAAGGAAGGAAGGAAGGAAGGAAGGAAGGAAGGAAGGAAGGAAGGAAGGAAAATGGTAGGTAGGTAGGTAGGTCTCACTATGTAGCTCTGGCTGTCCTCAAGGGCTCTGCCTCCTGAGTTCTGGGACTAAAGCTATGCACCACCATGCCCAGCTACATCTTTCTTTTTAAAAATTCTTCTCGCTGTTTAAAATGCCTTTGCCTTCTCCAGTCTCAACCTTACAAAGTGGGGTGTGTCAGGGGGAATCCTATTTGTATAGTTTCAGATAATAGTTTTGTCTGGGCATAACTTTTTTTTAAAGTTTATTTTAAAGACAACAATAAAAACTTCTCCATAACCACACCATCTTCCAGAGTTTGTTTTTCCTTCCTATCTGGCACCTCTATGACTTTCTCCATGGCTCTATTACAGCATTTCTATTCTTCTGAAATGAGTTACCCATCTCAGAAGTCTTCACTGTTCTTGAGTTCCAGATGCTATGTGATGAGCAACTGGGGAGCTCCTGCAGCTAGCCGATGGTGCTGGGGTGCATCCAAGCTGGAGTTCTTCCCTTGGGAGTGGCTGCTGTAAAGATGATCTTCACAGCTGCGAGCCTGGGGGAAATCGTCACAGAGGATAACACAGGAGAGATTTAAAAATAATAATAATAATAATAATAATAATAATAATAATAATAATAATAAGCACAAAATCCAGAGCATCTCCCATTTACAGAGTGGTAGAGAAAGTGAAGATGGGGAGGAAAGCCAGGAATTGGAGTAGCTCAGAAACCAGGTGGTATAGAAGGAAGAGGGATGAAGCAATGCAGCCCTGGTGGGGCCAAATCAAATCAAATCAAAACAAACAAACAACACTCCAAAAAACAACTAGGAGTTGACCATTGCATACAGAAGCATACAAGCAGGCTGCCACCAAGAGGAGGGTCTCACTAGGCTTCCCAACAAGCATTCATGACCTACACAGACTGCTTCCTAGCGATGAAGAGAGAGTTAAAGGAGCACAAGTAGCTTGCCCAGATCACACAGCAAGGGCCTGCCTGGCAGGGTCGTCCATTTCCAAAGTGCACCCTGCCCAGGAAAATAAGGAAAACTGGAAGTCGGCTGCCTGGAAGGGAACAGCCTGGCGTGTTTCTAACCTATATACCAGAGATTTACCTGTCCCCGTTCTCAACACAATCTGCTGTACAGCTTGTTACAGGACACACTTTCACATTCTTACAGGCCTTTATGCTTACAGTGTACGGTGTGTGTGACTGGCTCAGTTGTGTGGACTGTAATGACTGACACGGGGGACACAAGTTCATTCTTTAACATGAGCCAGTCAGATTTAAAGCGCAGCTCTGTCTTGTGGACATGTGCCAAATGCTTTAGCCTGAACAAATATCTAATATGCAGGTTCAAAGTGGTCATGTATCTCCTGGTGGGTGGGTGGGGGGTGTTCTGTGTTCTATTACCAAGGTATTAGGTGCTCCTATTCAATAATTTTCAGCTGGGTATGTTGGTATGCTCTGCAATGCCAGCATTGGAGAGCTGAGGGAAGAGGATTCTGAGTTCATGTCTGTCATAAGCTATACAACCAATTCCAGACCAGCCTGGGCTACATAGTGAAGCCATCGTCTACCCAAGAAAAAGGTACTGTTTCCTCCCTCAGTGTTGAAGGGTAGTACAGTTCACCGTGCCCACATCATAAGAAAACAGCATCCTTAATAACTCTGACTTTAAAGAAATACTTAGATTTGGGAGATTAGAAAGCTTTTCTTCATAAAAAGGAGATTATATTGGGAGGGGAGCAATCAGATGAATACCAAACCAACACATCAGCAAGGATCAGAACCCACTACCCAGATGGAGCTGTGACTAATTCTGGGAAAAGAAACTGAGAGTAATTTTTCAAATCAACTCTCTCCTTTGAGGGAACATGAACTAGTTAGTAACATGCAGTCCACTAGGCTTTGGTGGCTGATTCTAGTTGTCAAAGACTTCCCGGTGAGCTGAACATGGTGGTACACCCTTCAATCCCAATACTCAGGAAGCAGAAGCAAGTTGTTCTCTATGAATTCAAGATCAGCCTGGTCTACAAAATGAGTTCCAGGCCAGCTAAGGCTACTACATAGTGAGACTCTGGCTCAAAACCTAAAGCAAATCTCAAAGTTTCCAGGAGTTAGTGATTCAACTTCCTAGACCTTGCTCACAACAGTCCTTCTTCAGGGAACCATGCCTGGAATCTGCCTCTCTGCGAAATCTAGTAGTCAAACTCAGCTCTATTCACATGGATTTATGACAAGGAATGAGAATTTATAATCTTAGTGTTTGATAGAATGTGGGTATTTGCCTTAACTTTCATTCTATATCCAAATTCACCAACTTAAAGCACTTTGAGCAAGTTGGCAATCTCTGTTAAATAGAATTACAGCAGAGATTATGTTCTGAGTAACCTTGATTTTCTTATGAAACTCTAATATTTAAAAATAATCCCTAGTTTTCTTTCTTTCTTCAACTCTCTTAAACCCCAAGTATTCTACAATCCCAAAGTCAAAATAACCACAAAAAAACAAGAGAATTCTTTGCAATAGTGTTGTGGGTCACAACACTATGGCCCTATTCAATTCTCCTTCTGTTCCAGGCCATGTCCAAGGCTCACCTCAACATCACTGTTTATGATAAATGATGACTAACAGCAAATGAAAATGTGGGTTTGGCTGGGCAGTGGCGGCACATGCCTTTAATCCCAGCACTCAGGAGGCAGAGCCAGGCAGGTCTCTGTGAGTTTGAGGCCAGCCTGGTCTACAGAGATAGATCCAGGAAAGGTGCAAAGCTACACAGAGAAACCCTGTCTCGAAAAACAAAGACAAAATGTGGGTTTGGACATTAACAACATGCCATGTGGTCACAGGAGAAAAGAAAAAGTGTTAGTGGATGATTCTTTGGGGATCTGCCTATCTTGTACTACTATTCCCTCAAGTATTCAGAAATCATGTTTTAAGTCCCAGAATAGATCTAAATGTTTACCTGGGGCTCATCTCGAGTTCAAGCCAAGTCATGCCATACTGTCCTGCACATAGATGCACCACAAATGACATCTGCTGCATTAGCTGTCCTCGCTGCTCCCCTGTGCCACGGACCTGCTTGTTAGACACAAACCAACCAGTTTATCACTGCATGTATGTGTATTGTTTCTCCCTTTTCCTTTTTAGCCAGTATAGGGGTGGGAGGGGGCAAAAAAACAAAAGCACGGTCCTAATGATGAAATATCAGGATTCTTCAGACAGCTTTTTTAGCCAGTTCTTTAAAACCTGGAAAGAAATACTGATTAACAAAAGAGAAACTCCTATCAGAAGACCATGAGCACACATAAGGCTGTGTCCCACTGACTGATAGAAAGGCTTGGGATAGTTTATGGGACATTCCAAAGGTACATCCTATAAGCATTATCCCTCTTTGTGATCAGCCTTTGAACACAACAAGTGCACAGACTGGGTGGTTTATAGCCTGTCCAAGGCTGGCAGGTAATGCCACATCCACCACGAAAAGGTGGTTTCCCCAACACCTCCCCAGTGGTACATGGATGGAAATATGGATCTCTCTCTCTCTCTGTGTGTGTGTGTGTGTGTGTGTGTGTGTGTGTGTGTGTGTGTGTGCGCGCGCGCGCGCGCGCAGCGCTCAGCACAGAGCTTACACGTAATCATATTACTATCCTAGACGCCTATTAAATATGATTGAAACAATGCCCATTGAAAGTCTTAAAACCTTAACCACCAGTTTTACTTCTAAAATAAAGTAAACTGCCAAAAGTTCTGACAAAAGTGACAATTGATATTTTTAAGTAGGCGAGCTGAAATTTCCCTATAGCAGGAGACAAAGGAATTCTTACCTAGCTAAGTGGAAGAGCACCAATAAATTTCAGGAAGCTTACGCAAGTTAGCACTAATGAATGTCATCTTCTGTTTTGTCGTGAGAAAGGAGCTTTCGGCTGCTAAAGGAGACGGATTTAGATTATGAATAGCTGTAGTGATTTGCAAAAATGGCTCCAGAGAGAAAGAATGAGACTCCATATACTCATGGCACTTGAGGTTTCTGCCCTTTTTGTTGAAAATTAATTTGTCCTGTGGGTTATTGGATTCTAGCTCAGCCAATGTATATTGCTCAGTCATCACAAATTTACTTAAAATTTAGTGTAGCTGAAGTTCATTCAACAAGACAAAAGTCTACAGTTGAAAGCTTCTAAAAATCTCCTTTAAAACCCGGCTAACACTGTAATTGAAAGTGCTGGGATCTAAGTAGATTCACATAATGTTTGCAGGTATCAATATATACTATATTACAGGGCTTGAAATGGATTTTTCACTTGTTTTCCAAGAGAAAGCAGATAGGGAAAATTTATTATCCTTCAGCAAGGGGGCTTTTGGTTGAAGTGTCCACATTCTGAAAATACATAAATCCCTGAACTGGGATTAGATTCTGCAGTACATGTCATGATATTTCATTTGTTCACATAATTTTAAACTTTAAAACAAATGTTTTGAAAGCAAATAGACTGTATAACTTCTACTGCCTCCAAGGAAACCCTAAAGATGTTACAGGTTATAGTGAAAGTGCCGACATTCTGTGCCCCTGCTTGGTCAGTCCTTTGCAGACAGCTCACCTCTGGCTCCTGATGCTGCAGGGTAGGGACTCAGGACCAAGATGGTCAGGGTCACAGGAGCCACACTTCAACAACCCTCCCCTACCTAACAAAGGTAAGTGGAGATGAAGATATTGCTCAAAAGACGCTATTGTGAGAAGATGAAAAAGATGGCATTTAAAGAAGAAATCATGAGAAATAGCTTTTAGTTAATTCTTCTTTTAAAATGACTTTCCTTCATATCGTCTCGATTTCTCATTTTTTTACAGATACCCTCAGTAAATAAAACACACAGAGATGTGTTTGACAGTCTTTTTCCTCCTTAAAAATGTAGATAAGTGTCAAAACTTCTTCAATAGTTAAAATCACACCAGGGAACCTCACCTAGAATGAAGGCTGTGGGGGTCGCTCCTCATTAAATTAATGAGACACAGGCGGCAACAAACAGTTTGCTCATCTCGTTTACAGATGAAAGATCACTAGGTAACAAGACTGTTTCCAACTCAACATCGTGTTGTAGGGTAATTAAGAGCTAATCCCAGATGATAAAAACATTCGCCTGTGTCCTCTCATTAAGACAAGAAAGCAAATGCTACTCAGAACAACCTAAACCATAAGGAGGGATAAGAGCGTTGTTTCATTCCTAAAACCTGATCTGCAGCCGACTACACAACTGATCAGCTCTAAAGAGAGCAGCTCATTGCTGGAGGTCCAGCTGCACGGAATGACATCGAGTGCAAAGCTAAGCTAATCACAACACAGTGGACCGGAAGTGTTAGATTATCAAAGAGCCGCTTCCGGACCTAAAGAACCTTTGCACTTTTAACTAAAACTCCCTGTTCCTCTGAAGATTTATGGGCCTGGCAACAGAAACACATCTTACCTTTTACTTTCCGGATTAGAGGTGATTCTGATCATGCTTCTGACTGGCATAATCTGGGATTGCAGATGATCTCAATTTTTTTTTTTTAAG